GAGTGAAGATATAAAACCTTTAATGATTTGTGAGGAGGAACCAAAATTGTCTACTTCTGTTATTAAAGAGTTTGAAAATGATGAACTTGACGGTAAAGTGAATATTCGTGATAATGATCATGATACTTCACAGTTGTCTTTGGTTGATCATGATGAGATGAGGGATATGCCTACTACTGCTAAGTTAAATAAAGGTTCTGTACAACTTGAACGTGAAGTAGAAATAAATGCAGATTCAGTTGCAGAAGGCATGCATACTTGTGAGACCGTCAGTGTGATTGATCAGCATGTAGCCCACCTATCATCAGATGCTAGTGCTAAACCTGAGCTGATAGTAAAATACAGCAGTGGTGGTGGTCTTGCAGGTAGACAACTTTCTGAAAGTCGAGCAACAACAGCTTTTGATCCACCGCTAAGTTCTTCAACTGATATCAATCAGTCGTCGTTGGTGCTGTCATCCACAATGAAACAGACACCCATCAACTCAAGTATCTTGTGCAATGACTATGGTAGTATCAGTTCGTTTGAAAGGACGAATATCAATGGTCAGTTTAGTGTGGATAAGCCAAGTGTAAAGGAGAGAGTAATTGTTAAATTGACTTGCACGAATAAAGGCATTTCTAGTTTCAAGTTACTATTTGAATGTTATTATCTTTGGTGTAAATTACTCTGTTTCTATACTTGGTTGATGAGATATGTCGTGTGTTTGTTGGTCATCTATATTCTACGATACAATGACATGGGCGTGTTGCCGTTCAGATTTGAGGATATAGCTGATAGAAGGAAGTTAGCAAATGAACTCTGCGACGATTTTCCAACCTAGGGCGTCAACCTGAGAAGGGTTGTAGGCGTACTGCTGTAAGTCCTACAATTCTTCAAAGGGTAGCGCATCAATGAGCAGTCCAATGTGCTCGGTGTGTGATTTTGTACATATGTTCATATTGTATATACTGAATTGATATCATCTTTTATCTATCTGTTGGTAATTCTGTTTGTGTCCGGACGACTTCCACTTGGATCATCAACCTGAGAAGGAATGTAGGCGTACTGCTGTAAGTCCTACAGTTCTTCAAGGGTAGTTTGTCATGCCGGAATCCACAGTATTTGATGTAGTGATTGTACATATGTTTGTGTTAAATAATTGTGTGAGTTCCAATTGATATAATTGTTGGTTAATTTTGTTTGTGTCCGGACATTCCACAACTTACAATCGTCAACCTGTGAAGGTTTGTAGGCGTACTGGTGTAAGTCCTGCAATTCTTCAAGGGTATTCCACCAAGACATGAAATGCGAGTTTGTGTGTACTGTTTGTATATACGTGTGGTGTGTCATATCAATTGGTGTTATTTGAATTCATTGTGTTTACTTGTTGTTTTCGTACCTCGTTGTTATTGCATAATTTTGTTAAAATTTTCGTCGTGATTACTTCCAATGTTGTGTCCACTCTTCTACATCCGTGAATGAATTGATTGATGTTAAGGACAGCAGATGGGTCGTATACGCCGGGGAGGCTAGGCTATTGCTGAGAATGAAATGCACACGGAGATAATTGTTAGCTGCGGTCCGACACGCCGGGGAGAAAGAGTGTAAACGACTGAGGCTCGCATGCGTCACCGCTACTAGAACTGAGGCAGAATGAGTGACAAGCGATTTCAGTGGTAATTGGTAGTGAGTAGATAAGAAGATGTGCGTAGAGTATCGTGAGGTGCTGCTATGGTCACGTTGCATTCTGCAAGAGTCATTCTAGCAAGTGGAGACTGTGTTGCAAGATGTCAAGAGGAGGTCTCTATCTGGAGGCGCAGGTCGTCATTGATGTGTGAGATTGTGCTGTGAGTATGCTTGTGGTGTGTTGGCTTTTCTGTTTGTTTTCCATTTCAGCTCTGTCCGTGTGACCCAGGTTCTCGCAATGGCATCCAAGTCAACGTGCATTGGTCGTGAAGGAAAAAAGGGTTGGATCCCTTTTTTCCCGGGCAGTGTCAATGTAGTTGAAGATTGAACGATCAATTCATGGTTGTTTGCTCAAAATCAATTTTACCAATTTTCGCGGAGGCATCAATACGACAGTCATCGTCTCATCGGTCGCTGTTCAGAAAGAAGAGTGAAACATCGTCAGAAGTAACAATGATTTATTATTGTAATATTAGTTTTCAGACCTTAGTTTGCTTAGTTCGTTTATTCCTTTTATATGTTGGTGTAACAATACAGAAATAACAAGCAGCAGATCGGTGTTTTGGTTTTTGCGTCCGTTATTACTAAGCGTTTCTGAAACTCAAAGGAACAGCGTGGGCCCGAGCGTAGCGAGAGCTGGGCATTAACGGTTTATGAGACGTGATTGACAAGTGCCGTTAAGTTATAAACTTTGGAGGTACTTTCAAGTGCCGTTAACTCTTCGTCGAGGTCCTTTTGAGAGCGTAGGCGCTTGAGAGATTCAAGAGACTCGTGGATTGAGAGCAATAGTGATATGTCCTTAGTGGAATAGTACTGTTTCTTCAATTTCCTTAATTTATTACTGTGTGCCCTGTGAATATATTCAGTTCGGTGTCTACCTAATTTCACTATTTTCTTTGGAGCAACTGTATCTAGACAAAGGGCAACATTCCTGTAAAACAGGGTTACTAAGGCCTCCAGGGAGTCAGTGGTAAAATAGTCATCCCATTGACAGAGTCGAATAAGTTAATAATAATAATAATGTATATTCTCATATAAACATATAAATTTACATGAAAATGCATGCCATTTTTACAGGCACGATCAAGTATGATATAATATCAAATCGTAGATTGTCTACAAGTTAATAATTTTTCAACAGTTAAATATTTGATATATATATAAATACACATTGTCAGATCTAGGCTGTATAGTTATTGAATTGTACAATTGTCCTCCAGGTTGAGCGGGAAAATCGACTTCGTTTCGTTTTCATCCCGTGGTTGTCAGCATACGATAACCAACCAAAATTGAGGTAAGTACAACGTTTACAAGGGATTGAAAGCTGTTTTAGAAAAGTAAAAGTGCTGAGGTGAATCATTAAATTGTAATGAAATAGGTAAGTGCAAGTATCATTAATAAATGCATTAAAAAAAGAAAACTCCCTAGGCTGACAACGTTCATTTGCAATGTATAATGCAACACATATACCTCGTACTATCATGATGTCCAATTTTGGTTTTAATACATTTATCCTCAGTTGTGCCAGTTGTTTTTGTTTTATACCTTTTTGTGCATTTAGTGTACAACCGTACCCTTCAGAGAGTAGGAATATAATAAGTCATAAAGAGCTGTAAAATGTTAGGTTTAATGGGATATAATGAGGATCAAGTAAAGACGTTATTGGAAAATGAATGAGATAAGACATTGTGAAGTGGTATTTAAAGATCAGACAATGGACAGCAAGTTAGTTTATAAGATGCCCCATAAATCTGTGCAGATCTCGCGTGGTCGCGTCTCAACAATAGGCTGAGCGAATGGTATATTTAAAGGTAGAAGCATTATCTGTCAAGGCGTTCATTATTACCTTTTTCAAGATAAAGATCTAAGCCCTCATAAAAATCAGAAATATCTCGAGCCTTTAATTTGTATATTGCTGTTCCTGCAGAATGGGGCGATTCACCTTAGTGACCACCACCATATCTACTGATCAGCTAACGCCACCCTTCCTCCTTAAAGTTCTTGGACTAATCCCCAGTCTGTATATTTGTAACTACGACATATTGTGCTTCCTGAGTCTTGTTTGTTTCCTGTATTTAGTAGTGAGAAAGGCAGAGAGCAGAGTACCATTCTATGGTCACTACTGGAAAATCGATTACCAACATACGTGGATACTGTGATTGTGTCATGACAAAAAACAAGGTCCAACATGTTGTCACCCCGAGTAGGTGTCTGGACGTGTTGTTGCCATCCATAACAGTAGATAGTGGCAAGTAATTCGTCGAAGTGTCGGGGGCCGGAACTAGTTAACCAATTGACTTCTGGAAGATTGAAGTCCCCTGCAATTATTTTGTAATTAGCACTAAACGAGGATGCGTGTGCAAACGATTTAGCTAATAACGCATCAGTTTCTTTTGTTGAGCTTGGTGCTCGATAAACACAGCCTATGAGAAGTTTGTACTTATCTCCATGTAAGACAACCCAGAGTGAGTCAGGTACATTATTCATTGTTTCATCTTGCACCTTACTGACTACAAATGAGTTATGTATATATATGAGACATCCTCCACCACGCTTGCAACCTCTGTTTGCACGGTGTACAGTGTAATCATCGATACCTATATGCACATCATGTACAGAGGATGAGCACCATGATTCAGTAATCAGAGCTACAGTAGGCTTGGCGACTAATAATAATGTCCTTAGTTCAGATATCTTATTGATTAAGGAACGTGCATTAATTAGCAATATCGTGAATAAGTCACGGGATACTACAAACTGGCTTAAAATGTCACCATAACCTAAATCTATTTGTGCGTTAGCACCGCAAGAATTTATGAATGAAAAGGAGGTCGGACTGGGTGTCTGTACATCGGAGTTGGTGTGCAATGAGGTGGTCCTAGGTGCCATGGGTTGTACCAGTGATTCGGGACACCTGGAAAATTTACCACGTGTTCCTGGATATAAGGGTAGTACAGGTTGGGCCTAGGTTGACGGTTAAAAGGCATAGCATCAGAAGGTCTACCCATCCAACTGCTATTCGTCATACAGGTATACACCTTCGGGTTGTTTTTATAACTTAAAGGGAATTGTGAAGGAAGGTGCTTTGGCTGCAAGAGTTTAGGAGTCTTGGAGCCTGACTTTCTATAAGGTGGAGCATGCGGAACACCTCCAGATGTACTTATGTTTCGAGAGGAGTTTTTCGTAACAAGTGATGGTTTGTTGGCATTCTTACTCTCAGCAGGCTTATAATAATAATAATAATAATAATAATAATATATATTCTCATTTTTTACATGAGGGACGCCAGTTTACAGGCATCATCAATTCGATAATTTACACATAATATTAATAAGCATATTTAGTAAAGATAATATAATAAAGTACATTTTTTCCCTAGCTATGTAGGGTACACCAATTGTATAGGCATGCATAAATATTGTTTTAATAATAATAATATATTCCTTCCTGTTCATGCAGGAACATACCTATTGTACAGGCATGGATAAGTTATTATATAAATTACACATAATTTGATGTATAATGGACTTACAGTTTGGTTGTTCTTTCTGACATTAGAGTCAGTCGGAACAGTCTGCTATAAAGTCAGTTTGTGTAGCACATAAAGAGATATAGAAATATTGTCTTCGCATTAACAAAAAACCCAGACATCACATGAATGTAATACAGATATCTGGGAAAAATAAAGCTTGAAGTCAATTCTCCTACATAACTTTGTTGTGAACAGCACCCTTGGCTTAAAGATTATTGATGTATTATATTGAGATCAGTGATATATTTATTCCATTTTTCAGCAGTCTTATCGTAGTTTCATAACAGGAAAGAAATTTGATCGTGGGGGCGAAAATTAGATAAAGTCATGCTAAGTTGTTTTACTGCATCAAATGGTCCCGAGGTCGATTCCAGAATTCTCCATTTGCTCCATTTGTGTCTGCATGGCGGACTGTACTCGTAAGTTGAGTAAAATGTTGAAAACCAGTTGCTTCTTTATTGCAGATCATGAATACTCATTTACATCGTGTCCGCCAGCTTCTTTAAATGGTAGAATTGGATCGTTCCTGGAATTTGAGTGATTATGGGATAAATGGTTTGGAATTAATCATAGCAGTTAGAATACAGTTAAACATGCAGAGAAGTACTTTTGATTCAGCAACCGGTGAATTTTTTATTCTTTTCGATCTAGTACCAGAATAACTGCGAACCATTCCATTCAATATGTCGAATAAGGCACGCAGGAGGAGATCATTACCATGGAATGAGTCAACTTGATCTGAGATGCAGCTTTCAGCATGTTTTCGTTACATCATAGATATCCAGGTTTATTGGCGCTGTAGAGGCGGTGATTTGGATTATAACGTAATCTACAAAGTCTCCGTGTCCATTTGAAGTATACATATGCTTTGAAAGGATTACTTTGTTGGCTCCTACCCCCACTGAGTGTTAACAACAGCTGCTGTGGGTTTATGTATTTCCTCGCCTTTTTGGATAAAACATCGCCGCATTCTTTTTGGGTAGGAGACCAGTTGGTGGATTATAAATGATATCCAAGTAACTTTTATCTTTTCATGTGGTGTTGCGGTAAGTTTCTACCTTGTTTTCTCATATTTCATTCGTATGTTGATTATGGTTCGCCCTTTGTATCAGGTAGACATAGTTTGATCGACTCTTGGTTGAATGGGTGTTATTGTCATGACTGCTGCTTTTTTGTCTGGAATTATAAATAGAGACAAAACAAACAACAGGTGTAGTCTCTGAGTTCATACATTAAATGGGCCTATGATTTCTGAAACTCTTACATGGGAATTACCATTGGTATCAATTACAAACTCACTTAGTGTGTCATTAAGTGCCTTTTCAAAGGAGGCCAATGTGCTTGCTAGTCGTATTTTCTCAGGTAGTTTGTTCCATATTTGGGCATACCTAATCAAGAAAAACTTTTGCCTGGTGGCTGTTTTACATGGTTCTATAGCCACTGTACCTTTAGTGTGCCTAAGGTTGTATCCTGTGTTACCTGAGGACCGAGTATAGTTAGCAGGGGTATACACTATTTGGTTAAGAAGCTTATAGAAGAGTAACAGATTTAGTCGCAGTCGCCTTAACCATAATGTTTCTAGTCCCAGGATTTCACATCTGGTAGAGTAGTTTGTGCCGTTATCGGTTCCGAGTACTTTTCGCGTGAAGTACCTCTGTACTCCTTCTACTTTCAGTTTGTCTTCTATGCGTGTACTGCTGAATATGAATGAGCAGTAATCTAGGAGTGGGCGCACACATACCTTGTACAGTAGTATTCTGGACTCGTTTCTGTAGAAGTTCCTGAGTAGGAAACCAATAAGCCTTCGTGATTTCGACACTTGATTCGAGATATGCTCTGAAAATGATAGATTGTGTGAATATTTCAGTCCTAGGTCTAGTACAGATTTGAGTCTGGGGATTTTGTGGCCCTGAATTGCTAGGTTGAGGTCAAGGTTGGAACAGCCTATGCAGAGCCATCCACACTTTTCAACATTAAACTCAAGTCTCCACGTGTCACACCATCTATCCATTTTTGCTAATTCTTCATGTATGGAGTTCATAGTTGGGCCGATATCTGTATTTGTGCAGGTATATGTCACCTTCAAGTCATCTGCATACAGTATTGGCTTGCCTATACTAAAACATTCACATATACTGTTTATGTATATAATGAAAAGAAGGGGTCCCAATACACTCCCCTGGATGACACCACTGCTGATTGGTCTAGGTCTGGAGGTCATTGAGCCAACTTTAGTTGTCTGATTCCTGTCATACAGAAATGATTTTATCCAATTGTAGAGGGGGTTGCATATCCCTAGTGAGCATAGCCTACCGACTAACAGACTATGTGGGACTCTGTCGAAGGCTTTCCTTATATCGAAATAGAGGATAATCACTAGCTCTCTCCTATCTCTTCTATAGGTGACTTCGTTGAAAAAGTCTATATGGCAAGTGACGCAAGATCTTTTCTTGAGGAATCCGTGTTGTGACAGGTTGATGAGTTTATGTTTTAGAAAGTAGTCTGACATTTGGTCTTTGATTACTTTCTCCATGATCCTTGATATGACTGGTGTTATATTGATAGGCCTATAATTACATGCACTAGTTTTGGCCCCTCCTTTATGCTTAGGTAATATATATGTGTTTTTCCAAGTTTCAGGGTAGGTTTCGGTCACTAGTGAGATATTAAATATTCTAAGTAATAATACAATCATATCCGTACCACCGTTTTTGTATATGACGGATGGTATATCGTCTATCCCACAACTACTGTTAGCTTTTAATGTCCTTACCGCCGATGCTATATTTTGTATATTAAAGTTTATTTCACCTAACTTGTAGTTATTTTTGCAGGTTATGTCGAGAATTGGGGACGGATGTGCTTTGGTGTTATTGGAGAACCACTCACTCAGGAGTTCACTAATGATCTGGGGATCATCATAAATTATATCTTCGTGTTCTAAATGACTGATATTGTTTTCTTCACCCTTCTTCATCCGTTTTTGCAAGATTTTGCAGAGTTCCTGGGTTTTAGAGGTGCCCTCTAGGGCTTTATTTTCCTCGACTTGTGCTTTCATTTTATGTCTCTCATCTAAATTTTTAAATATTTCGTGTATCAGGTGTAATGCATTAAATTCTTTGTGTAAATAAAATCTCCTTTTTAGTTTCCTTAGTTTTATTCGCGTTTTGCGATCTATGAACAGAGTTGGTGTCTTTAGGGCAGATTTCAGGGGTGCGATTGTGTCTCTTACCGAACTGATTGTCTTGTAGAAGGTATTTAGTATTACTTCTAAGTTATTATTGGTGAAGTATTCACCCCAGTCTGAGCTTCTCAAGAGCGTTGGTAGGAATTCCCAGTCGGCATTTCGATAGTCCCTATATTGATAGTAAACCGGGGAACTCTTGAGTGTGTGTTTAGTTGTTAGTTGTAAGGGTAGGGTGCAGTACAGTATGTTGTGGTCACTGTTGTCGAGTTTATCCCTCACCTCTATCGAGATCGGCTCTATTTTGTGACAGAGGATTAAGTCGAGTATATTGTTGTGTCGTGTTGGGAGGCGTACGCACTGCTTCCATCCTCCCACATCTATGGCTTCTAGGATCACCTCGTAGGTTCTCGGTCCAGTGCAGGTATCCCAGTTCACTCCAGGGAGGTTGAAATCGCCACAAACTAGTTTGTAGTCGAATTCCAGCTTAGGTACAACCTCTAGTATTTCTCCGATAACCGTATCAGTCGTTATAGGGCTGTTAGGGGCTCTGTATATACATCCCACAAGAATGTTATTTTCATTCGTGTGGATGCTTATCCACTTGGATTCTGGGAGTTTGTCGATAGTTAGGTTTGTAAAGGTATTGGAGTTAGTGGATTTAGAGGCATATATTAGACAGCCTCCTCCTCTCTTGTCTGCTCTGTCATTCCTGTGGATGTTATAGTTATCGATTATCAGCTTTGTGTCAGGTATATCAATAGTAAGCCAAGTTTCAGTTACCAGAATCAGTGTTGGCCGCTCCATGTATGCCAAGCTGCGAAGGGAAGTTATTTTGTTAAGGAGAGATCGAGCATTTAAAAGCATAATTTTCAGAAAACCAGGGTTGTTGGGATAGTTAGTAGGTTTTCTTGTTACTATCCCTAACTCCTGGTTGAATACAAAGTATTCTTCCCCACCATTAGTCTCAACCCTGCGAAATTTGTTCATCGTGGTGAGGTTACTACGTTTGGGGGGAAATTTCTTAGAACAACTTGCAGAAGTTCTAGCTATTTTAACATCTTTCGATGAGGCTTTATTTACAGGGGTACTGGTATCTAAATCACTTCCTAGTTCCATTGGCAGGTGTGGTTGTTGTGTAGTTTGCTGAATGCTAGTTTCAGCACTAGGTGTCTGTTGCTGTGCACGATCCTTATTCGGTAAATCAAAGCTAGAGGAGGTGACCAGGTTATTACTACGCATTATTCTACGCTGACACGGTGTTTTATCCTGAGCTACGGTTATAGACTTATAACTGCTATTCAGTCTTAAGTGATCCTGACATTTAGTAAACTTACTAGCATCAAGGGAATTACTGAATTTAAAAATGATTGGGCAATTAGCCTGGTTAGACTTTTTACGAAGTCGTTTGCATTCACATGGAACACTAGCCATGCCGCAACAAATCAGGATTTTGTGTCTTACAGTTTTCAGGGGCAGAGAATCTGGGACGTTGTAAACTATGGCTTGGTGAGAAGAGGTTATACGCTTCATCACCTCCGTAGCCAAGCAGTCAATCAGATTTTCAGCTTTATTTAGGTTGTCTGGAGATATTTTAGGATGCCTTTCTAAAAGACAGGCTATTGGGTCTAAATTCAAAAGCTTATTTTGAGTTACATCCAGTAAACACTTAACCTGACCAATATCAGACCGGCTCTCCGTGGTATTTGAGATTGGCACTGACATACTATCAAACTGATCTAATTTTTTCTGAATTTCACTTACTTGCCTCTGCATATCTTTCAAAAGGAGGTTTAGTTTACAGAACTCAGAGTTCTCTAACAGAACATCTTTCACCTGTATCACAGGAGTGAGATCTGCACTCAAACCATTTTGAGAGCTAGTAGTTGATACTGTATTACCAGGCGGTAATGCAGTTATAACCGAATTTAAGCCACTATCTAAAACAATTGTTTCTACGAACACGTTTTTTAGAGATTTGGACCATAATTTCAAGAATTATATGACAATAAGCAGTAAATAAATTTCAGAGCAAACACGTGCAAAAATGTCACCAATTTCGAACGTACCGCCAAATATATATGGTTATTTTGTGTGTGTGTAAACATTAAATTTGTCAAACGAAAATACAATTAGTGAGTTCAGATGAATTGGATGTTGGTAAGAGGATAGCAACAAAAGTGATGAGTTGTCAAAAACGATTGTTAAAGAGGAGTAAGTTCAGGTGAATTGGATGTTCATATAAGAGGATAGTAACAAAAGTGATGAGTTGTCATAAATGATTGTTAAATAAGAGTTACGTAATAGCATGAATAGTTTGATGAATGAGTTGTGCTTAAAGGGTGTACATGGAAAGATAACTTAATCAGACATATGCTTAGCTGAAATATTGTAAGTCCGAACCAACATGGATTCCTGAAATCCAGATCATGTTTTACATGTCACCTAGACTTCTTCAATTTTGTAACCAGCAGTCGTGACAGACGGCAACTAATACTTGTCATCTACTTTGACATTTCTAAGGCATTTGACCGTGTTGACTATTTACTGCTAATACATAAGCTGAACTCCTTAGGAATTCGTGACCCATTATTAGGATGGCTTAAATCATTCCTTAGCAATAGGTCGCAAATAGGTAAACTCGGGTCTGCAACCTCCAAACCTAGCCCTATCACTTCTGGTGTAGTACAAGGTAGTGTCATTGGACCCCTCCTATTTACACTATACATCAATGACATATGCGCTTACTTCATGCACGGGAAACCATTCATCTTTGCAGATGACCTAAAAATAGCTTATACATTCCAACGTGATGACTTAGGGTACCTCGAGAATGTAGTGCAGAAGGAATTAGATAAAATGACTGCTTGGTCGTCCATATGGAATCTCCAACTTAATCTGAACAAATGTGGCTGGATCTGCTTCGGTGCACCCTCAAATGACCTGAAATTAACGCTTCAATCCGCTAACCTAACCAGACTCCGAAGTGTCGTTGACCTAGGCTTGAGGTACTCTAGTGACTTGACATTCTCAGAGCAAGTAGCATCACAGACTAGAAAATTGAGGATGCTCCTAGGATGCATACTCAGGAACTTTCACGACAATGAAGCCAAGCTAATTCTGTACAAAACATGTGTCAGACCACTACTAGAATACTGTCCATTTATTATAAGCAGCACTCGCACACGTGATAAGCTAAGGATGGAAAGTATCCAACGATATTTTACCTCAAAACTACTTGGCTACGATTGTAAGATAGACTACATCTCACGGTGCATGATCCTAAAACTCGACCCACTTTGGACAAGGCGACTTGTTATAAACCTAATATTCTTCTTTAAGGTCCTTCACAAAATATCATTCTCAGGTAACAGGGACATACAATTTGCACAGGAAGGTTATAATAATAATAATAATTTATTTTCATATAAACATAAATTTACATGAAAATGCATGCCATTTTTACAGGCACGATCAAGGATGATATAATGTCAAATCTTAAATTGTCTACAAGTTAATAATGTTTCAACAGTTAAATATTTGATATATATATAACACTCATTGTCTGAACTAGGCTGTATAGTTATTGAATTGTACAATTGTCCTCCAGGTTGAGCGGGAAAATCGACTTCGTTTCGTTTTCATCCCGTGGTTGTAGGCATACGATAACCAACCAATATTGAGGTAAGTACAACGTTTACAAGGAATTGGAAGCTGTTTTAGAAAAATTAAAGTGCTAAGGTGAAACATTAAAGTGTAATAGATTAAGTGAGTGAAATATATCATTAATAAACACATTTATATAGAAAACAGAATGGGGAAGTAATTAATCCTTAGGCCGACAACGTTCATTTGCAATGTATAATGAAACCAATATATTTTATACTATCATGCGTTCACTTTTGGCTTTAATACAATTATTTTCAAGCCAGTTGTCTTTATTTCATGTCTTTTTTTCTATTTGGTGCACAACCGTACCCTCCAGAGAATAGGAATAGAATAAGTCGAATCAAATTCATAAAGAGCTATAAAATGTTAGGTTTAATGGAATATAATGAGAATCAAGTAAAGACGTTATTAGAAAATAAGTGAGACAAGATATTGTGAAGTGGTATTTAAAGATCTGACAATGGATAGCAAGTTAATTCATAAGATGCCCCATAAATCTGTGCAGATCCCACGTGGTCGCATCTCAACAATAGGCTGAGCGAATGGTATATATTTAAAGGTAGAAGCATTATCTGTCAAGGCGTTCACTATTATCTTTTTCAAGATAAAGATCTAAGCCCTCATAAAAATCAGAAATATCTCGAGCCTTTAATTTGTATATTGCTGTTCCTGCAGAATGGGGCGATTCACCTTAGTGACCACCACCATATCTACTGATCAGCTAACGCCACCCTCCCTCCTTTTTTGATGTTAGGCTCTGAGACTATGATTATTATGGCTACCGCAAATATATTGCTTGGTACCAGACATGTTCGTACCCCATATTCCATCTCCCTAGCTTTCTTAATGAGTGCTTCCAATAGGTCTCCACGTACATCTTTACGAACATATTATATATGTGTGCATGCATCCTGATGAACAGATTACTTTATAAGAAGTTAAAACCTTAAAGAGTAAAACGAATAGGTATTGTGAATAGTGGAGCAAGATTTAGCAGAATACTATAGTTAAGGTTCAATTTAGGTAGTATGGACTGAAGGTAAGGTCGGTTGGCAGGACTTAGTGTACTAAATTTTCATGACAGTCTTATATATAGTAAACATCTGACATTGCAAAGTAACGTGTCTAGACATATTATAAAAAGATATTAACACAGAACCAACGAAATTTTGGCGTTTTTTAACAATACTGCAGTGTGTGTATACTGAAGAATGGTGGTTAGTCTACAGGGAGCCGTAGAGTAAATCAAACCATATATGATAAGAGTATAATCAATAATATAGTTCGTATATCAAATATTACACTAGGTTCAATAATTGAGTGTTATAAGGGAAACAAGCGTGGTAAAGCAAGAGAACATTTGATGCATAAATATTTTAAGTATTTTAATATCCATCTAATTTAAGAGTTGAACATGCATGATTAATAAGTATTATTATATTAGTATATACATATGTAAAACGTTAAAAGGTGTGGATGCTATTACAATTATTTCCAGTGTTACTTTCACCAACACAACTTAGTGAAAATTATAGAGAATAGAAATCAGTAAATTAGTTAACGTTCGCTGCGTGAGTATTAGAGTCGAGATATACGTATGTGACTATACTGAAGACTGGACTGGCCTTCAATTTCCGTTCTACCAACAGTTGTGGTCTTTTAGACGAGCTAGGGTGGACATGTTAAAGTGTCTTTCTAGGCTCCGTTTGAACCCATCAGGGTTTTCACAACATCTTATTTCAGGTGGTAGTTGGTTCCAAAGAGTGCAATATTTTATGGTGAAAAAGTTTGCCCTAATGGATTTTCTGTGGGTAGCCACCTTGACAAGGTAGTCGTGGTTTCGCAGCTGATATGATTTAATATTTTCCCAAGTTATGGATGAGTTACTGTAGCAGTGTTTCCTAATGACTTTGAAGAGTAGAAATAGGTTGCACTTCACTCTCCTTAACCACAGAGGCTCTAATTTCAGACGTACACACCTGTCAACATATTCCACTTGTTGGTCGAACCCTATTATGCGTTTCGTGAGGAATCTCTGGACACTTTCGATTTTTTTTCTGTCTACAGTCCTGAGGTTACTAAATAGGAGAGCACAATATTCAAGTTTGGGACGGATACATGTCCTATATATAGCTAATCTTGCTTCTTGGGTGTAGAAGTTACGCAGTACAAAGCCAGTAAGTCGTTTACAGTCAGATACAACCTTATTTGCGTGATCGGAAAAGGATAAATCTGAGTATGTTATCCCGAGGTCTGTGACTGTGTTCAGTTTTGACAGGAGCTTCCCGTACATGTATAGGCACATTATCGGTTTCCAGCGTCCAAGGTGGGTTATACCGCACTTGTCTGGGTTGAAAGTCAGTTGCCACTTTTCGCTCCAATCGCCTAGATCATTTAAGTCTTGTTGGATCTTGCTTTCGACGCTCATATCACCGTACCCATAATCATATACTATCTTGAGATCATCTGCAAAAAGGTATGGCTTGCCATACTTGATTACAGAGACTATGTCATTTATAAATAAGAGGAATAGAATAGGGCCAAGAACACTACCTTGTATTACACCACTGGTTATCGGCTTTGAGGAAGACAACTGGTGGTTGATTTTGACTAATTGCTCTCTTTCTGTGAGAAAAGAACTTATCCATTTGTGAAGATTTCCGGTTATTCCGTAGGATTGGAGTTTTGTTAGGAGTCTGATATGTGGGACTTTATCGAAGGCCTTGCTAACGTCAAGAAACAATGTTGTTACCGAACGCCCATTATCAATGCTTTGTGTGATGTAGTCAAAATAATCTAAGTGGCAAGTAATGCACGACCTTCTACTTAAGAAACCGTATTGGGATGGGGATAGTAGGTCATTTGACAGCAAGTACTGAATGATTTGAGTCTTAACTATCTTTTCCATTACACGTGAAACTACAGACGTGATGTTGATGGGGCGGTAGTTGTTGATATCAGCTATAGGCCCGTATTTATGGATAGGTACAATATAAGACTTCTTCCAGCAGTTAGGGTATGTCCCATCGCTTAATGAAATTGAGTATAACTTGAGTAAGAGTAAACTCATGTCATTACCACCTTTTTTCAGCAGAACGGAAGATATACCGTCTGGGCCAGTAGTGTTACTAAGCTTAAGATTTGCGACAGCTTTATCGATCTCATGTGTGGTGAAAATTATGTCACTTAAACATTCGTCTGTTTTACGTGGGAAATCCACGACTTCATCGTTCTCTAAGGTGTATAATCTGGCGAAGTGCTTGCTAAACAGTTCACATATCGCCTCATTATTTTCGTAAGCAATGCCGTCTAAGTATATTATTTTCGGATAGGGTGTTTTGGAGTTCATCAACCTACTTTTAAAAAGTTTGGCTATTTCTCCTGAGTTATGCGGTGCATGAATGGCCT